AGGAATTTGGAAAGGTAGAACAGTGTAACGGCTTACCTAAAATTGCACTCTAGGAAGAGGGAATGTGACCTCTATGAAGCTGGGAGGAAGCTAGCTAACTAAAAGTAGGAACCCATCATAGGAGCCCTGCAGTGAGCCATTTATCCCAATTTCAACTGGGTAACAAAATACCAGCCAGCCCCTGGGGACACCAGGATTGAAACACAATGTTGTGTCTATTCTGCAGCAACTGAAAACCCTAAGGAATGAGGACCAGGAATTATCTACTAGGTGGCCTTTGAAAAAGTAGTAAAGAAAATTAGATATGTGCTGTTACATACCATAAATAAGCTTAATTTACTTTATAAACTATGCCATGTGTTTTGGAAACACAAGATGTAGGTATCTGAAGACAAGATGTATGTCCAAACACTTCCTAGGTACATGGTGATCAAGAACATGTTGCATGGATGCCTTATCCCTGGTAGTATTCAAGGCCAGGTTGGATGGGACTTTGAGCAACCTGGTCTAATGGGAGGTGTCCCTGCCCATGGCACGGGATTGCAACTAGATGATCTTTAAGGTCCCTTCCAACCCAAACTGTTCTGTGATTCTTTTCAACAATTCTGTGAAAGTATGGAGCATGAACTGCGCAGGGACTTCAGAGGGCTTCATGGGAAGAGGCCATGAACTGCTCTGTGCCATCTATAGTCATGTCATGTTGGCACTGACACCAACAGTGCACACCAAACCTTCAGTTGGTCAGAGGAGCACAGAGTATTCCTGCCTGAGCACAGATAAAGAGTATCAGCCAGCAGACACAGGACACACACGCAGAGATGATTCGAGAGACTGCTGAGGGAACACATGGCTGGAGATGTGCTCTGGGCAGTAGAGGTTCCATCCCAGTAGGATATCTCCCTGAGATACTGCAGCAAGGACACCCCTGAGGGACTGTAACTGTGGGCCACTCACACCAGGACGAGCCACACCAGAGCAGTGACAACCCTCAGGGACCATAAAGACCCTCACAGAGGGAGGGACACTGAGAAGCAAAGAGGACTGGAGGAAAATCAGCAGGAAGCATGGAGGAACAGCAGAGAGAAGCCATTAGGCATACAACCTTCTTGCTCTGCATGTCTCCTCGATGAAGGAGCAGGGGATGGGCTGAGCATAACCTGCAGTGAAAATCAGGGAAGCCAAAACAGAATGAGTAGGGGTGCTTAGCTTAAAATTAAAATAGGGAAGAGTCGATTCCTGTGCTGGAGCATGGAAAAGCAGTTCAGCCAGAAGAAAGAGGAATGCCCCTGGCAAGATGATCTTAACTAATGACTCCTATTATTATTGCATTTTATCAACACAGCTGTCACCTGATGAAATAAAAGGTGTTTGCAAAGAGAAGTTCAAGATAGCAAGAGTTAAAGCAGAGTCCTTTCTCAAGCGCAGGCAAACCCATCACATGCACCAGAGTAACATCAGGAAAATATTGAAATTGGTCTTGGCTGGATGGCAGTAGCTTGAGTCACACTTAACTTTTGCCAAGCTAAATCACTGTAACTATGGAAAGCTTAAGGATTGCTGCAGTGACATTTTGATGTAGCAGTGGCCATTTTATATAAATAACACCACATTAAAAAAAAAAGCCTCAAGCTTTTCAAATTAGAGAAAACATAAAGATGGAGAAACATCTGCTGCACTTTTAATGTTCATGCTGCCATGCATCCAGTCCAGCATTGCCACTGAAATTGTTCAGCTGAAAGTTTTGTGGCAGCTTGTTAGGTTTTTTTTCGGTTTTTTTTGTTTGCTTGTTTGTTTTAATTAGATTTAAAAGCCAAACAACTCCAGAGACCAAAAAGCGGAGCTCAGTCTCCAGGAGTCCTGCAGCACCTCCCTGCCCTAGCTGAAAGCTCCATCTAGAATACAGACAGAATCATGTCACCATCTTTCATCCAACTGGTCATTTCTCTCAACATTGACTTGCCTCAACAAGTCAGGAGCACAAGTGTTTCCTTCCCTTTCCTCAGAGCCTTCTAATTACAGTAGTCTTACAAAGAAGGGCCCTCCTGCAATTCACCCTAGGCTACTGATCTTACAACATAGATACCTCAGTCTCCAGCATGTACTTTGCTCTCATAGGGGTGTTCACAACCGTAACTGTTCCTTTGACAACTGTGTTTCAATCAACAAGCTCTACTCAATTCTTGCAACAGATACTTAAACCATATATCCCCCTCTCCAAACTCTATAACCTCAGTAAAATAGCTTTTCATGCCTTAATCTTTCTGCAGCAGATAAGGGAGACTTTTCAGCCTTGTGTCTACATGCAGCAGTTTTTTGCTACTCATCATATGCAGAATCACACAGAACCATTTAGGTTGGTTTAGACCTCTGAGATCCTTCAGTGCATGTATGGAGAAACATGCACGGATTTTTTTAATTCTTCTTCTGCTGTACTTTTCATATGAATTGTACAGAAGTCATGCTGCCTAATACTTCTTTTTGGTTGTATTTTGAAAACCAGGATTACTAGTCAAATTAGATGCTAGGCTAACCTGGTGGTTTTGCAGGTGTAAGATCGCTGAATCACTGAATCAGTCTCACACCTCACGGTCAGTCACAGCTGGAAGCCTCCCGCCCTCTCCTCCTGTGTCCCCACCTCATTTCCACTCTCCCATGCTTGGCCCTGCCACTCCCTTCTGCAGGCACCAACGCCCATCAAACACTCTGCAGAGCAAAATCAATGCAACAGATTAGTCATCTGCTGACTTATCAAGATGAATCATCTCATTGCAGGCCCAGATGGGCAGCAGACCAAACACAGGAGGAAACAGAAAGATCCCACTTCTTACCAGGGGCAAGGTGTCAGACTATCCACAGAAACCAATGTATGAAAACTCACATTCGACCTTTCTCTGGCTACAGCCTCAATGGTATCTAAATTCCAGCTTTGACAGACTTGCAGAGTTCAGACTTGGCAAATGAGACAATACTTGAACACGTTACCAGTTTTGAGATTAAAATCGTGAGCTCTTCCTCTAAGCAAGCTCAAATAATGAAGTTCACCCTTGCTTAATAATACATTCAAATCCTTGTGATATGTTGAATATTGATTTAACACTAACAGCTTTCACATGCATAAAATGGATGATCCCGTAAGAAGTTACTAGACTGGAGTAGATTCATCTAATTGAATCACGAAAGCAGGCAGTCACAGTGAAACCAGTCATCTCCACACAGTCACACAACTGCTGAGCTACTTAAAAAGATCCTTAACTTTTTACAGCAGTTCTGCACATTCAGACTACAGCCAGCCAACTGACAGTGAAATTAAGTTTTTCAAAAGTATGTAATTCAGGTTCTGAGTTTACTGTCATTTAAGACTGCACCACCACAGATCTGAAATTCCCCTGGGGGGCCCCACCCTCCCCAGGCTGACATTCTCAGCAGTTCTCAAATTCTTACATATTTTTAAGGAAAAAGTGTCCACACTAATTATAACTGATCTACTCAGTTCATATTACTGGCATTAATGAGTACCCATATAAATTAACCAGCTTTGTAAAAGCAATCTGTTCAAAATGTAGTATTTTTTTCCACACAGAATTCTAAACAAAACCCCTGAAGGCAGTTTTTGTGCACCTTCCCTCTAGTGAAGCAGAAACCAGACAGTGTCTTTTAGCCTCCAAACGTCTTTGCAAAAAATTTAGAAAGATTATTTTCTGGGTGACCCTAAATACTTCCACATCTTAACAGCATCATAGCAAAGATTTTGCTGTCCATGACTGTGAGGACTGCTTGCAGATGTAGAGGAGAGACTTTTCCACACAAGTAGTAAGATGATAAATATTAGCAGTCTGAATGATCTGTTAGTTTTAAAGGTGGTTACAGTAAAATTTTACTATTATTGCAAGAACTCAGCTTTACTAACCAAGGAGTCAAAACCACAATAGGGACACAGCAGAATTGAATTCAAGCAGGCTTTATGCCAAACTGCTTATCTGGCATCTGTATGCATTATCTACAGCTTCCAGGCAAAGTAAGGAACAAGTATTTTTCGGTCTCCTTTAAAATGAAGAGACAGATCTCTAAGATCTGAAGTGCTGCTTTTACAAAACACTCGAAAGAAAATATCTAGGCATAGCACCAAGCATGCTTATTAACATAGTAAAAGAAGAAAGAAATCTCTTAGAAAAAAAGTTACATTAATGGGAAATGACAGTTTGCACTGCATATTCCAGTTTAGCAGTTTTCCTCCTGAAAAAAACTTGTATTAGGGACTTCGCTACTTTTCTCCTCCCCCTCCCTCAGCCCAATGTTTCCTTTTACCAAACACCAACGCGCTATTACATACGTGCTTTTTTGATCAGGGTTCAACAAAATCGTCCCTGACACACACTGAAGCAACAAGAAGCTTAGCAAAAAATACACCAGTGTGTTTTAGCCCGCGGTTTTGCCACAGTAATTTTTTTAAAGGTTATCGTGTGACGGCAGATTTTCTGGTGAGTAACTCTCCGATGCCCTGGGACCGCCGTAACTCCGCTTTCTTTCCTAAAATGGAAGCCGCGCTCCAGCCGAGCTTCCCGCAGCTCTGAACCCCCCTCCCAGCCTCCTTCGAGGACCCCCCTGCACCCAAGGGCACTACTGGGGTAAGGACCACGTATTCACCGCAGATTAAACACCAGGCAGGGTTCCCAGTGCGGAGGGGCCGGCAGAAAACTCAGGCATGCTTTTCCAGTTAGTTAAATGGGATGGGGGGGGGGGGGGGGGGGGAGAAAAAGAAAAGGAAAAAAAAAAAAGGCTGGAGTAAGAGAGAGCCGCTTCCCTGCCCCGGACAGGCACGGGTAGCCGGGGACCCGCCCGGCTCTCTCCCGTCCCGGGACCGCTCCGATCCCCACTCACCGCGACTCCGTGCGGAGCCGCAGCGCTCGGCCCCGGCCCGGGGACGGAAGGCAGGGGAGCGCTCCCTGCCTCTCTCCCCAGCCCATCCGCGGCAGGATCGCTCCCCGCCCGGCCCTGCTCACCTCTGACGGGGACCAGCACGGCGAGGAGCACGGGGAAGAGAAGGAGCCTCCAGCGCCGCATGGCTGCCTGCCCCACAAGCACACACAAACTCTGCCCGCACCCTGACAGCCGCTCCCGCCGCAGCTGCTCCCGCCAGGCCCGCGGGCGGCACCGCCCCGGGGCTGCGGCACCGCCCGGAACACGCCCCGGGCCCGCCGCGCTGTCGAGCAGGGCGCGGCCGCCCCGCGGGCACCTCGTCCAGCCGCGGCCGTGGGATAGCCCTGTCCGCCGCCGGGCTGAGCCCGCGAGATGGGTTTCCCGTGTGGGCCGGGCCGAGCCCTCCCGGAACCGGCGGAATGGAGAAGCCGCTTCGGAGTGCTGCTCAGCCCTGCCCGCTGCCGTGCAGCCTGCCTGCGAGCCAAGGGAGGCTCCGAAAGGGCGCTACGGAGCTAAACTTTGGCCACAGGTTTTAACAGCAGAGATGCACGCTTAGGCACCGCTGCGCTGTCTTCACCCAGGCACTCTCTTTCGTTGTTTTTCTGCAGGAAAAATCACCCAACACGAAACGCACCAGGGCACCTAATAATCCTGCCTATGGCAGACTTGCTTTTTCTCTAGTCAGACGGGGTAAAATAGCTTTGAGTTTTGTATTTGCAAGCGATGCTGCCCTGTCCCATGGCTGACAGGTGCAAATGTAAACCTGAGTGCACTACAGCGCTGCGGGAAGACCTGAAGTTAAAGATCCTGATTTCCCATAAATCCCTTTCCAATGGCCATTTTGTGCCGTGAACAGAATGCCTTCTGTTGAGGTCCAGTCTGTGCCCAAGTGTGGTAGAGAGAGTTTGGAGCGCTGCTGCTACAGGTCATGGTCAGAACTGTATTGACACTTGTGCTGAGCTCTGCTTGGGGGCAAGTATGACAAATGCACTACTCCCAGATTTTGGTTTTTCACTTTCCAGACGTGTGCTGGTTATTGACTGGATAATAAGAGGTTCAGTGGCACACAGCATGCAATTCAGAAGGTAACTGATGCTGTGCAACTGATTCAGAGGTCATAGGCCTACACCTTCCTCAGAGAGGTCTATACCTGTTCTTTGGCATTTGTAGAACCTTCCCAGCTGGAAAAGTGGAATGTCATAGAGTTAGCAAATCACTGTCACCAGTTCATAAATTGATGGTATTATTTTTTTTTCTTTTTTGACAGTGACTAGTCAAGTAATTTTTAGGTTTACCCAAAAGCAATAAAGAGTTTAACTGTAGTAATAAACACACTTAATCTTAAAATTATGCTGTGTTTTAAATTAAAGATAATCTTTTCCATTAAAACATCTGAGATTTGCATGAGTAGTATTGAAGTCAGCAGTACATGGTTAACAGCTTCCTTTTTTCCCAAGCCTAGAAGGTAATATTGGATATGTGCACATGCACTGTGTAATCCAGCAGTATGGATCTTTCCATTACATTTATGTACGTATACCCAGGAAATTACTAATGTTGCTCAAAGGATGTCCTGTAAGCGAATGTTTGTTTATAACTGTTGTTAAGCATCACCTAAGAAGTTGCTCTCTTGCCAAAAAGAACAAGAATTGGTACTCCTCAGAGTACAGCACACTCTTTTAATCACATCATACTAAACCACTACCCCCACCCAAGAACTGCAGAACTAACAGAGAAAACGTTTATCTCACTGACATTACTGTGTCAGATCAGGGCACTGTTGCTTCCTGTTGCCAAAATTAGTGTTCATCAAAGCTGCCTTATTCAGATGAGGTAAAATCAACCTCCTGTTAGAACAGATGTGAGATAACTGTGCTTTGTACTAGAGCTTTTGTTTTCCACTTGGTTCGATCCTTGAGGCAGGGATACAGTTAGCTAGCCATGGCAACTCTAAAGCTAATAAATTGTCCAGACTTATAAATATCTGGTGGTTTTTTTTTTTTTTTTTCAATCTTGCTAACCTTTTGATCTGAAGATCTCACCGACATTTTGTGAAAATGAGTTTCCTTATTTGTGATTACCATCTCTTCTATGGGCGGACTTTGATTGGAAAAAGAAATCCAGGCTTTAGTGTTTCACATGTAAGGCCAACTCAACTCTAAAAATCAAAATAATTTAGTAATAAATTATTAGTAATAATTATTTATTATTTATGTTTATCTGATTGTATGAAAAATACTCATAATCTGAGACCCCCTTCTTCCAGCAGCACCTATCTTTGGCTTGCCCAGCCTGCAATGGTTGTCCTAGCAGGTCTTTCACTCTGTCTCTGTCCTGCCCATAGCCTCTACCAGGAAGCCTCTGCAGATAGCTTGGGCATTTGCCTGATCTGAAGATGCCTTGGAAGGAGAAAAGGTTACCTTAAGATTTACTCCTAAAGAGCAGGAACTTTAAAAGATGTGCGTGGTCTGTGGTTCGGCCTGAAGAAAAATGTGACATACAGCATCACAATGAAGGCTGGAAGTTGTAAACCCAGGTGAAACTGTTCAAACTTGAACAAGCTCAGTGATGTGCACAGCTGAAGAGCTTTCTGCAAGCTACAAAGTTCAAAAAGATAAGTGCTCTTTCTTCTCAGTTTCCTCTAATTCCTCTTCTGACATAAGGTCCTTGTAGCTCTTTTCCTGCCTCAGAAAAACTTTTCCCCTTTTACCTATGAGTTTTCAACCGTACTGGAAACATCATAGCTGTCCAGATGTTCAAAGAAGCAAAGGAAAGACAAATAGATTTTTATTTGCTAAAATACAGGTCTTCATGGAGCAGTTAAAATCTTACCAACCTGACCCTCTAGGACACTTTTTGGAATCAGAAGGCCACAGCCACTGCCAGTGGATGGTGAAGCAGATGGGGAAAGATAGCATCAGGGAAAAAAAAGAAAGGAAATGGGTGGTATTGGCAAGCTATTCTTTGATGTACACACATTCTGTTATTGTTAAAAATTGGTATGAGGACAATTACCCTGGAAATTATGTTGTCTTTTTTACTTTTATTTATTCACAAGATTTTGGCAATACTCTGCAATGACTATATTTCAGGTGCAATGTTTGTGAGGCTAAGAACACACTCACATGTAAGGAGTATATTTGGGTGTGTTGAGGATGTGGCTTTATCTAACAGCATGTTTTGGAAGAGTATTTGCCATAAGTGTATCCTATGTTTTTTACTCAATCAGAAATCCAACTGAAGGGCAGGGTTTCAGCACTGGTTTCTATCATGGCATTTACTGAAGCATGGGCTCTCATCTTTATGTTTCTTTTTGATGTGAGGATATAAAGTTTTACATTTGTGTGTATTTTAAATAAAAGTCAAACATGTGACAACTTATTTTCTCCCAATGTTTTCATCTTGAGCTGTGAGAAGGGGCTAGTTCCACTGGCAAAGTCTTCTGTAAGTAAGCCTAAAATTTTAGCAACAACCTGAAGTTTTAGGGCCACAAACAAACAGATATGGTATAGTCAGTCAATAAAATCACGATTTTTTTTTTTAAAGGATTGAATATAAATAATATGTTAAAAACATAGTTAACCCCATTTGATCTTTGGTCAAAAATTATAAAACTACATCAGGATTGTTTGATTTTTGTTTTGTTATGTTTTTTGTTGGGGTTGGGTTTCTTTTGGCTTTTGATTGTGTTTTGTTTTGTTTTGTTTTAAGAAGCAACAGTAGTATTTCCAGTTCTAAGGGTATATTTAGAATAACCCAGAGTCCAAAGAGGCTCCAGAATCTCTGCTGGCTCCCCTGTTGGGTGCTATTTTCTGATGCTCTCTACTTTGCAGGGCAGAAAAGACATGGAGGCACTGTAGCCCAAGGGTTCCTTCCCAAGGAAACAAACTGGATTCCTCTACAACCAGCCTGCTTGATAACAACGATTGTTTCAGAAAGGAGTTTTTTCAGGAGATCCTGAAGAACTTCTGGAAAAGGCAATTCCCTAGTCCTTACCACACTCAGCTTTTCCTGAGGTAAACATCCCCTCTATTGGTACCACTTGTTCCCTCCAGTATCAGCAATTATTGCAGTATGCCTACACCACTTACAGCGCTGGCTGGGGTAGTACAGCACCAAGGTCTTTGGCAACTGACAGCCAATCTCCTTTAAAGCTCATCCCATTTCTACTACTGTAGAGATTTCTCCTACTATAATTATCATCTTGAGTATTGTTTCCTTTTCAGATTCTCCCCACATAGCTTTGTACTTTGTTTTGTTGATTTTTATCTCTTGTTAACTATCAATTTTATAGATCATTTTTCTGCAAGCTCATCTACATTTGATGAGACACTAGGTGAAAAGTTGTTTATGAAGTACCTATATTTTAAATTACATGGATGCCATCAAAGCTTAGTTCCACAATAGAAAATGCAGCTTATTGATTAATGAAATAACTTACATCTCTTATAGGAATTTTTTTTTATGTTGTTGGATTTTATTAGAAACAGAAAAATATTTATTTCTTGCAGAATCCCTTTCAAAAGAATAAAGCCTACAGCAACAACCCTTAACATTTATATTTTCTTTAATTCCTATTTCATTAGACTATAGTATCTTCAGTGAATTCTTTTAAGTTGAGGTTTCTTTGCCGTCTAGAGAGCCATTTATAACAGTTTTTCTTCATAACATTATGAGCGAGAAATATGTAGTCTAGTATAAATGGTGAAAGCAGTCTGGTAGTAGTGGTATATGGTATAGACCTCTACACAGGCTTATTAATTATAGTGAAAAGTAGGTTTTTTGTTTGTTGTTTTTTGTTTGTTGGTTTTTTGTTTTTCTTTTGGGGTTTTGTGTTTTTGTTTTTGTTGTTTGGGTTTTTTTTTACCTTGTAAGGTATGCTATGGTGTAAACTTTTCCAGGAAAAGTAGAGTAGGTCTTCTGCAGAATAGGAGCTCTTGATTCCTCTAGTAACATTTCTATTTTATGCTAAGTGTGTCAACTTGTCTTTGTAATTTAACTGCCGAGATTCAGGTTTCATGAGTCACTATATACCTTTTGAAACCTGTTTCTCATATCTCTGTATTTCACCATGAAACTTTGTTTTTAATATTTTAAGTCACTTTTATTTTAATGTAAATATTTGACTTACTGAAAAGAAAATCTAGAATACCTTTCCTCTGTTTTTGGCAAAATAACCTTATTAGTAATGAAATGTTTGTTCCTTTTGAAAAACCTGTGA